TAATGATTCTATGATTCTATGACACACAACTGTGCAAGTAGGGCCCTGCAGAGCACCTAATGTGGCTACTGTTGAATTGTAGGCCAGAAAAAATGCTGTTAGTGGAGTTAAAAATATAGGTTACTCCAAGAGGATGGTGAAAATATACAAACATAATGAACTATACATGACTCATTTCAAAATAAATGTCTCCACTGGCAACAAATATTCTTCCTGGTTTTCATTTAACCTGTACATTTTGCTCTGGGTTTGAATCTCCTGTATCCCATTCCAAATTGTATGGAAGTGGAATGCTGTTTCTCATTAGAGGCTTTTAGATTTGTTTCTTTAAAATAAGTGCAGATTCTTTTTAAATGAAACATCCAGGATCACAAGTTCTATCTTAAAATAAATAATTGCTTGAGTAATTCATTCAACACTATTGCATAATAGTCATTAATAGTGCCTGTATAAAATGAATGTCTGCTAATATTGATGTAGTTTGGTTACTCAGGTAGCTGGGGAGTGTTGTATGTCAAAAGCTGGGCTTTTGCCTTTACTTAAATAGAGTTTTGCCTGGTTTATACGAAACTCTGGCTACAGTATTACACTTAGATAATGTAGCTTTGTAAAACTCTTAAACTTTGTGGTATTTTCCCTTCTGATGAGGATAAACATTAATTGAAACCGGATCATAGTTAAGAAATTGTTGCTGTGAGCTGTATTCTGGAATCCATACTTAGACTAATGCAGCTATTTCTTAATGTAAACATAAAACAGGCTCTCAAATTCCTGCTTTTGCATTTACATTGTTACACCAAAAGGTTACTATCAACATGCAACTTGGGGAGAAATCTATACAACTGAAACTGCTTTGTACAGTTGCTTTTCATAAACAGTGCTGCTTTGTATTCCCTATATAGTTATGAAGTTGAATATCAATATGCCTCATTCAATATTTATGATTTGTGTTCAGTAGGAAATAAAGGATAAATGAAATAACGTAGCTGACAGTAACTCTTTGACCTGTTCCTTCAGTTTGTCCATTTTCATTTCTGCTCTGGGTATTTTAGGTGTTTCAAAACAATAGCTAGGCAGTCTGTCTCTGTTCACTCTAGTATTAACTTTTCTTTTTCTTTTGAAAGCAGTTTAACAGTAAAACAAGAGATGGGTTTACTGTGAACACAAAAGTGCCCAGTCTCAAGGATCAAGGGAAAGAATATGATGGATTTACAATTACAATAACAGGAGATAAGTATGTTTGCTATTTTCAGGGGTTCAGGTGCATTAAGTAATGATGAATTATTAGCAATTAATCTTCTCGAATGCCATTTCTACTTGCATAAAGTGGGTTTTGTTTTTCACTAGTGCTATTTTTGTAAATAACTAAACATTTGTTCATTTGAGGACTTCTGATTCCTGTTGTGTTCCCTAACAAAGAGGGAATATGGATAACATTGATGAAGTAGGCCCAGTTGAGATGATTCTCTAACATATAGCACAAAAGTGAAGAGAGACCTTGTTATTCATCGTAAACTATAAAATGCCTACAGGGGAAAAATCTCAAAAATCTCAGTCTTTATCCATATCAAAATACATTTCTTGTTGTGAGACCTTGTCTGTTATGGTGACTGAGAAGTCCTGAATGGAATGGAAATTTCTATGATCTAAGAATAGAAGACACTCTCTTCTATTTGCATTTTTGGCCTTTTGTATGTTTATTTTTGAGATGTTTGCAAACCTTCTATCTGCAAATGCCAATTTAGATAGTACCTGAATGTATGAGTATACAATCGGGAGGCTTTGGGCCACTCTTTGGGTGAAATAGTAAATTTCTCACTTTTTGGATACTGGCTCCTTGTCTTCCTGAAGAATGAGCATTAATCTGTAGCTCAGAAGCTCTGTCCTACTACTTACTAAAAACTTTGGCTTATGGGATTTAAAAATTCTGTGCATTGGAATTTTTCCCAAAACTTGTATGCTTCCGATGAGTGGCATGGAAGCCAAACTTCTCTTCTAAAATGTTAACATATCTCTTGGTTTTTAATTTTGCATTCTAAATCATATGCCTATATACAGTGAAATGGCATTAAATATATGGCCTCCCTGTTTTGGGGAAAATATTTTGGTGTCAGTAAAAATGGTCTAACTTTGTTCTGCACAAACTTTGTTCTGTGTCAGTCAGTCAGTTTTGATCCATAGTTTGTAACTATGTTTTTATACCAAAACAATTCCGTTTTGGTAGTTGTAAAGTGTAGGTTTGTTAACTTTTAATTCTATACAAAAATCTCAAGCCCATGAAGATATTTTAAAATTTCATATTTCTTATTTTTTACCTACACTTTAAGTGAAACGCTAATGCTTGTCAGGTGTTCTTCAGTGAAAATACTTCATCTGTGATTAGACGGCAATCTTTATGTATTCTTTCAGACAAACTTACAATGTGACAAAACGTTTTTAATTCAGTGATTTTTTTTTTTTTTTTTTTTTTTTAAACTAAAAGGGGGGCAATGCACATAATCTCCTGCTTAAGGAAAAATGATAGGAAAAAGGTTATGATGTGGTATTTAACCGTAGTACATTTGTAACTTACCCTGGATACTAGATAATGCATCAAGTTCTGTTCAGAAAATTTCTTACCTTCTTTTTTGTTTCGTCCTTGATAGAGTGGGGAACATACTATTTTCGGTAGAAACTCAGACAACAGAAGAGAGAACACAGCTGTATCATGCAGAAATAGATGCGCTATATAAGGATCTAACAGCTAAAGGAAAAATTCTAATTCTGTCTGCAGAGCTGGGGGTAAGGCTGTTTTAATGGAAATTATTAATTCCTTGATAAAATTCTATTATGTTTTTATACCTTCGGTTTAACAGTCACTGTTCTAATAATTTTTGACAGAGATCTTAAGTAATAAAATCTGCTGTTTGCTTAAACCCAATTATGACAAATACCGTAAGAAGTTGCCATAATTCTATCTGTTACTTTAAAATTTTCTATGCTTTGCTGCAGTAATAGAGAGGGTCTGGACAAGGTCTCAATATCAGAGTGGTGCTTTTTTTTTTTCTTTATTTTTCTCATGGGTCTGTGTTCACTGTTTCATCATCTGTATAAGCACTGCTTAGGATTTGGCTCATGGTGGCTACATATAAGATGAGAAGTAACATGAATTCATGAGAAGCATTGGAATTGTGTTTGTGTTGATTTTGTATTGCAATGAGAACCTGACTACATTTGAGCTTGTGCTTTCCATTTTTCATCCTTTTAACACAGTGTAGGTGAACTGTTTCACCTAAATTTTAAGGATATAACAAAATAATTTGCTTAAACATCTGTTAATCAGACTCAACTTCTCGGTTTGACATTTTTTACATTTGAAATGGTTCTTTAAAAGAAATAATCACAGTACTGTAAGACTTTCCAATATGTGTTCCTTTATATGGTATTACCTGGCTATTAAATTATCTTTAATTCACTTTTTTTTTCTCTTGCTTAGGAAGTAGATGCTGTTTGCAACTTGATCCTGTCATTAGTTTATTACTTCTATAATTTAATGCCACTTTCAAGAGGATCTAGGTTAGTGATTGTCTTTATCATGTCTGCTATCTTGGATGCACACTGTAAAATGTCTGTGTTGCAGTATCTTAATACATTTTTTAATATATAAAAAGCTAAAAAAGCTCTGGGTTGAGCTGTGCATCCTGCACAGTCTCTCATTGTGTGCTGCCATGACGATGGGTACTGACTTAGTACTGTTTTAAAAGCTAGTCTGTAATTGCTAATGGTAACTATTCATAGCTGCATGTATATTTAAAATGACGAGTAGTCTGTATTTATAGGCTTCGGCTCACAGATTGAAAAGTGTCATTTTTAAATTGTAATGCTTGGGTTCCTAATCCATATGATGTTACACCACTGTAATTTCACTCAAGAAGCTTTACTGAAACATGTATTTAAGATTAAATACTTCAAGATAACTTGTTATAATAAAATTCACTAAAATATTATTTTAGTAATTTATTGCAATTGTTGGAGTCACCAAATGAAACCCTAGAATAAAGTCCCATATGTCACAGATCTCTTCAACTGAAATTCTATTTTAATTCAAACCTGGCTACATCTAAGACTATTATGAATCTCTGTTCCATAAAGCACTTAAGATATTTAAGCTTATTATTAAACACAGTTCAGTAGAAAATAAAATTTAAAAAATCCTTCGTTTTTATAATCGGACTTTGCCTTTATCTTACAGAATGTAAAAATTAACAGAAATTCTGTCTAAGTTTCACAATTTAAAAAAAAAATTAAGTTAAATTGAAAAACAAGTTAAGTAACTGAACAGCTTTACAGTGCCTCTAGCTCTGTTGCAATAGAGTTCATAAACTCTTCTGGGCTACAGCTAAGCTTCTTGGCAACAGGAGTTTGCTTTGTTTTCAGCTCTATGCAGTCTTACGACTTAAGTCATAAGTCTGAAATTATGATTCTGACTACTGTAGAAACAGTGCTCTTCAGTAGTTAAACTCCATAGGATCATAACTTCATTCCAGTGGTGTTGGAAAGTAACAGTGATTTCACTTTTTAAGTGTTTCATACTTGTTTTTACTTCTAAAATAAAGTAACTAGCACAGTAATTTTTACTAGCCTTCTATGAAACAGTACTGTATTTTATTTGTTTTGTAGTCTAAAATAGCATTATGGAAAGACTTCTACTGTACTTCATTTGTTGTTTTTTATTTTTTTGTTTGTTTGTTTTCAGTGTGATAGCTTATTCAGTGATCATGGGAGCACTAATGGCAAGTGGAAAAGAAGTATCAGGAAAAATCCCTAAAGGGAAGGCAAGTATCAAAATACACTGGTTCAGCCTTGATGGAGGAAGTAATACTTGTAAATGTGAGAAAGGAGCTTTAAGAATGAACAGAAGTTGCACACTTGTTTACTGAAGATGGATTAGCTGCATACTATGGTGTCTTGCAGCCTTGAGAGAGTTTTGAAAATTTCGTTGCTGTTCTGACAGCAGGTGAGATTTAGAGATAGTATGTGCAATAATTCTGGTTAGTCAAATTGTAGCAGTTTGTGTCCCACAGTAATTACATATTTGTAACTGAAGCATTTCTAGTGTGCTGAGCTGCTCTTTCTAGCTTTCTTTGAGAAGGGTTCTGAGAATACTTGGACAGAATTAGTGACTCTTTTGGCACACAGCAGAAATTTTCTGTCTTTGCTCTCAATGTATTCCAGAGCATTTAGGGCTTGGTAAGTAGAAATGTATTTGCAACTTCTCTCGATTTCTCCTTCCCCTCTGTATTCCACTTAATTTAAAATAAGTCCTAGTTTTTAAGTGACTACATTTGAATATTATACCACCTTGCTCAATAAAGGGTTTCCCTTTCTTTATTCAACTATTGGTCTGTTAGCTGTGTTTACCTTTTCAGCATGAAAGGAGTGAGAGCACCTCTGTGTCTTTAATGTATTGCCAAAAGAATCAGTGAAATTCCAGTGAGAATCAAAATTGTTGAAGAAAATATCCTGCGTGGATAAGAAGAAAGAGTGACTTTCCCTTTTGTTCTAGAAAGCCCTGAAAACAATGAAGTTTGTCCTTTCAGTACAATGAACTCCTAGCAGCTTTTAAGAGCAAACTGCACTTGCTTAGTAGCAAGAAAGCTTTCTTTTCAGTATGCCATTAAGTTGGTATTTTCACCGTTCTGTGGGAGTTCAAGCTAAGGTAAAAGACTTATGTGGGTTTTCTTATGCATCCTTTTAGGACTTTAATAGAGTAGTGCATTTTGCTGACTGATTTTATGCAGGCAAGCAGAGTTTCAGGATTACTAAAAAGCAGGATTTCTGACTTAAAGGAAGCTTTGGGAACATTTTTACATTTGAGGGTTTTTCCTGAAGCAGAGTGCCTGAATTGGAACAAAACCATTTTTTAGAAGAGTTTTCACCAGCTGGAAGAAATTGTTTTCCCCAGTTGAATGAAACTGGGATTTTTTTTTTTTTTTTTTTTTTCCAGATTCCTTAGAAGGGTATTTCTGGTCCCAAGCTTATGACAGCATGCATTATCAGACTGCTCTGAAGACTAAGATGCCCACTAATCAAGAGTCCTGTTATTGCCTGGCAGGTCAGTCAGTAACCACAGCCGGTGTAGCTTCCAGTATCGGTTGTGGTGGGGTGTGCAAACCCACAGGGAGCTTCAGTGCCTGGCATGCATGCTGACTTCCAAGCTGGTGATGAGGGACAAAGTAGTCTGGGCACAGACTAGTTAGTAAGCTTACTCCTGTCTTACCAAGAATATAGATAGCATGCTCCCAGAACCCTTCCTTGAATTCAGCCAAAGTTCACTGAACCACGAACGTGTCAGCTTAAATGTTTCAGTACTAGTGAACCAATGTTTTTGACTGAACACTGTTTTGCTAAAAACTTATTTTCAGCTGTAGATATGAAGTTGCACAGAGTTCTTGGCTATATGTAGTCAAACTTGTCTGAAAACCCACTGTGGAAAGAAGTAATACAGAATGCCTGGGAAGTCCAATATAAATCTACCAATCATGTGATACAATATTTTGCAGAATGCAGTATGTAGAAATGAGAAATATCCCCATTTTATTTGGACATTGTAATAAAGGGCTGAAGACGGTCGATATTTTCTGGCACTGACTCATTAGTACAAACATGTTGTTAAGAGCGGAAAAAAAACCCCGATTTTGTCACAAAAGGAAGGATATGTTTTTAAAGTTGAATTTATATGTTAATAATACTTGAAGATTAACTTGCTGAAATTAGAGATCTTAAAACGTCTCTAATTTCTTAAAATCTTTTTTATTTTGTTGCATTTTCAGCTGGTTGATTTTGAAGCAATGACGGCACCAGGGTCTGAAGCTTTTAGCAAAATAGCAAGGAGCTGGATGAATCTAAAAAGGTAAATCTTTTTGTTCAGATAGGGGGTGGGGAAATAAAATATGAAAGACTTTATATGTAAAATTTAAACCTATAATAAAAAATGTTAGAAATTATGAGTTTAGTAAATGATTCAGTGCATTTTTAACGCGGTTTAGGAATTGATAAGACAAGATTTGAATAACAAACACAGTAGTTTATTTCTAGTCTAACAGAGTAGTTAGTAGTCTAGACATTCAGTTATATGAGTGTTTTCCTCTGAGAAAATTATTTGGGTTAATATTTTCTTCATTTTGTTCAGTGGTCAAATTTGCCTTTTTATTTTTTTTTTTTTATCATTAGTAAATCTGGTGATTGAGTGAGGGGAAAATTTTAACTTGATTTTTTTTCCCATTCTTATGGATCTCTTCAAACTATATCTCAAAAGTAATTTACTTATCCTTTAATGCTATTTTAATTTGGAGAATAAGTATTTTCAAAGTGGATGGAAGTTTTGAATGTACAGAATTATGTTACTTAGTATAACTGCATGACTTTTGTATAATGCTTTAAAATTTTGATTTTCATATTAATTGATATTTGAATACCGAACACGTTAATTCCTTGTCAGTACTATGAATCTAGTGCATTTGATTTGTCCCTTAGTGGTTATTCCCCATACAAAATCTAAAAATTGGGCCAGAGACAAAACCAGTTTTAGTATCCTTCAAATCAGGGTCAAGACATTTAAGGGATGCTGAGAGAAGTGGCCTATGTCCTTACAAGGCCATCTGTAATGCCTGAAAGATTGTGCACATCAGGGAACATTCTTGGTGACTGCAGGAAAGGAAATCTTGCATTCGTCTTCCAGAAGGCCAGAAGGAGGACCCAGGGAAACTGTAGGCTGGTCAGCCTCACTTGGAGGTCCCTGGGAAAGTCATGAAGTGAGTCCTCTAGGAAAGCATTTCAGGGTATATGAATGAGGAGGTGACTGGGGACAGTCAACATGGGTTTACCAAACGTTGTGTGACCCAATATGATTGCTTTCTGTGATAAAATGACTAGATTTGGGGATGAGAAGAGAGCAGTTGATCTTGTTTATTGTTACTTCAGTAAGGACTCCCACAATTCTCTCATTCCAAGATAGCACATTATGGTCTGGACGAATGGACAGCTAGATGGGTAAAAAGCTGTTTGGATAGTCAGATATAGGGGGTACTCAGCACTTTAGACCATGCCTAGAATACTGCATCCAGTTTGGGGGCAGCTGCAGTAAAGACTACGATAAACTGGAGCAAATTCAGTGGAGAGCCACCAAGATAGTCAGGGGGCTGGAGCACATGCCTTAAAAGGAGTGAATTGGGCTTGTTCAGCCTGGAGAAGAGAAGGCTTTGACCTAACAGCAGCTTTGCAGTACCTGTGGGTCAATACTCACAGAAAATGGAGCCGGGCAGTGTTTGGTGGGAGGACAAAAGAGGACATGCATGAGTTGAAATGAGGTTCAGACTGAGCATAATCTTTTCACCCTGAGGATAGTCAAGCAGTGGAGTGGGCTGCCCAGAGAGGCTGTGCGGTCTCCATCCCTGGAGATTTTCAAGACTTGACAGGATAAAGCCCTGACACCCTGGTCTGACTTCGCAGTTGACCTTGCTTTGAGCAGGATGTTAGTTCACAGACCTCCTGAGGTCTGGTCCAACCTGAGTTATTCTCAGAGCCTGAGGAACTCTGCAGCTGCTGTTAGTGCCGAATATCCCATACTGATGAGTGTTGTTTAACTTCATTATCAGTGGTTCTCAGCCTGGTGAATTTCACTAGACTATAAAATCTCTTCCTAAATGAAGGCGGCTATTAAGAAGACTCAAGGACATCTTTGTCAGACTTAGGCTAAAAATCTACATGTAAATGCAGTCAAATTCAGCATTTATTAAGGAGTGACATTTTTAAACTACAGTGTAGCAAGTTGCAGTTTTTATTAAAAGTAGTCTGCACAAATATTGTGACTTGGTTGTCTTGGAAATACAAAACATTTATGGTTCCCACAATTTTTTACTGTAAATCTCCCAATTTATGTACTCAACTTCTTTCTCAATCCTCTGTTTATGGTTTTGTGTTTGTTTTGGGTTTTGTTGTTGTTGTTGTTTTTTGTTTGGTTTTTTTTTTTTAAGACATATCTCTACCAAAGGAGAGCTTCTCTCTTGGGAGCAAAGCCAGCTTAAGCCATTTCAACCCTAGCTATGTGTTTCTGACCCTCTCAGTTGTACTGTTGAAATTTGTGGGAATCCTTAGCAAACCAGATCAGGGAAATGATTTATGTTAAAAACAACCTTGCCAAAACCAAAATTTATTTTTAACCGAGACCATTTCATAGCATAGCCCCACCGATCATATTGCTGGCTCAAATGAGAGATGTATAATGAGCCAGACTGGAGAAAATGCTAAAGTTGGCTTTGCTTCATGCTGAGAAAAATATCTGTAGAACCACAGCCCAAAGGACTTGAAGTAATAATATGAAGGTAATTAACCAGAGTGGCTAATTTGTCTGTGGTAGAAGAATAATAGTGGGTAAGGTAAGTAAGGTTTGAAGACTTAAAGCAATAAAATTTTGCTTTAACTTCTGCCACTTCCGAAGGCTCTTTTATGTAGTCGTTATTTTCATTCTGTATAGCGAGTGAGGAGTCGTGAGAAGCAAGAGCTGCTTGTGGGCAACAGATTCTTGACTTCAGGTCTCAAATTTGTTGGAGAAAGAGATGAAGAGAAGTATAAGCTAATGTGTTAACTTCCAGGTAAATCATAAAACTCAGCAAAAGATAAATTTCTTTTTTTCTCCTCTTTCAGTATTTCACCTTCTTACAAGACCCTACCATCAGTATCGGAGACTTTTCCAACCCTGAGAACAATGATTGAAGTACTAAATACAGACTCATCTCATTGTCTAAAAAAAACTATAGTTGTTGTATAATTTATACAAATAAAAGGCCAAGAGGTACTGCTTCATAAATTATTTTGAAGGGGAAATTATGGTCAAAATGGTTTGGTTTTGTTTTTTTTAATAGAGTAAACTTACTTGACTAGTTATCACTAGGATAAAAGGAATCTGTGACCAATAATATTAAAAAGGAAAAAAGAAGTAGAACAGCTGATTTCTTGTATTGAGACATACTCTAACAGGAAATACTGTCGTTCAAGGGCTGAACCAAAGAGCAATAAGAAACTTCCATCACAGTTATGGTCTGAACGTACTGCAGGTGAAAATTTATTTTTTAAAAAAATAAAAGATAAAAGTAATCTGCGTTGGAAATACCACTGTACTACTTCCCATTTGTTTTTTTTTTCAAAGCCTCTGTCTTCTGCATGGAAAACTTCATGAGCTGTACATGTGTGAATAATTGGTAAATACACAGGCATTTCATGTAATGCAATCCAGTGAAGCAACAGATGTCAGCTTAAAAGAACAGGTTTCAGGAAAACATCATTTGGAAACAAAAACAAACAAATGACATATTTGGAGTTAGGCTCTTGGTGAGTAAATGTCAGAAACACAGCAACTGTACATCAGTCTCCCTTTCCAAGTACTCATTGGTGGTGGTGGTTGGTAAAAGAGATCAACGGATTGACAGTATATTGGGAGAGCTAGCTAGGGCTTCTTGAGTTGTTTTTGTTGGAAGGGCCTGGCAGCATTCTGGAAAGGCAGGCTTCCTGTAGGGCAGGGCTAATTCAGTTCAAACAACATGGACAGTATCGTGAACCAATTTCTGATTGTAGTAGTGATGATATTATTTCTGGCGAGTCCTAACTGAATTATACAGCTTGAGCTCTGTGACTTCAGAGCTCTTCATCAGGTTAAGTGATTTCAGAAACAGCAAGCAATGGTGGGGCAAATGTCTGGCTTCCTCAGTGGCTTTGATCAACTTTTTTTTCTGCCTGAATATTCAGCATTTCAGAAAATGTACAAAACTGTTCTGTTTTAGATATAGCTTTCAACTTGTTTAGTATTGATGGTCTAAACTGTGTTTCTGTTGCTGTCATCTTTTACACAAATACTCTATTCTTACTTTGCTTGCTTCCAATTTTCCAGAGGTTAGGGCTTTGTTGGGCAATTGCAGATATCTGTCCTAACCATGTAATACGAGATACGCTAAAGAATAAATTATTTACCAAGGGAGAGGTGAAAACATTCTGCATACCCCAAGCGTGCCAATAGCAGTGGTGTGGTTGCTCTTCTCTGGCTACGTAACAATTTCAATCCCCTCTTTAATGAAGAAAGAAATGCAGCAAAGCATCAAGAATGTTGATATAGGTGACCTACTTTAATAGTGGGACCGGAAACAGTGTGGATTTATTGAATGGAGGGTCTTGTATTTATTGGCTTCAAAGTGGAGTGTGTCTGTGTGCGTGTGTGTCTGTGTGCGTGTGTGTCTGTGTGCGTGTGTGTCTGTGTGCGTGTGTGTCTGTGTGCGTGTGTGTCTGTGTGCCACAAGTTAAGTTAGAACCAGCTGTCAATACTGACATCCATTATAAGAAAAGCCCTCTTGATTTAAAGTTAGATTTCACTATTTGTTACCTTGATCACTGCCAGAATAGGACAGCTACGAGTAGCTAGAGATCTGAGTGTTTACATGTATGAAGGATTTTCATAGAGAGAGAAAATGAATCCCGGAAAGTGGATGCATACTATGTCTACATTAGCAAGCAGTGCATCCCACCCAGTATGAGTAGCTCACTTCCCACATTATATGCATTTCAGAGGTTTTACTTTTGTCTGCTTGTCTAGTTTATGAACTGGCTGCTCATTGCATTTGGAGTGCATGTTAGCAATGCATCTTCCAGTTTGGATGTTTTTTGGATGAAACAACATGTATTCTGAAACCTCTCTGCACTGTGAACCAAAATGTGGTAAGTGAAAAAAATGAGGAGGCTCACTTCAAAAGTGTGCTCCTGATTCAAATTAAACCAGTCGTGCATATATACCTGTGGGAACTTTTTTCCCATGAACTCTTATATTCTAAGATTGTACATTGAAAATACAAGGATGGGGAGAGAATGTGCTTTCCTTCCACTTAACGCCTTTTACCATCTATTGCTGAAACAAATGTTGCTGTCTGTGTAGTAACTCTTCTTCCCTAAGAACAAGCACAGTATTAACTTCTTGCCATGCTAACTTATGATACTGTTACCAGACTTGTAAGCACAGCAGAAGTAATGTTGTATGAAGGCAGGGGAAAGAATAGGAAGCAGATTTTTTTGTTAGATGTTTTTAATCCTGATTCTGGTATGTGTGAGAGTAGGACAAGAATCTATTTCAAAAATTGCATGGACTGTATTGGAGCTACAGCGATAACATGGTTAGATTTGGTTAAAAAATAGTGACCCAACTCCCAGCCAAGGGAATAATGATCTAATGTGCAATATCTTGAACTGTAGAAATCAACATTCGTTTTGCAAATGTCAGAAAGGAAATGGTGTGCCCATGTCTGAGCCCATTTTTCCTAAAGCCTGTTTTTCTCTTCTCCTGCTTGTTTGCAGCTCAGGTACATATATCTGATCAGGGAATGCATAACAGATGCAAGGAAATCCAGAAAACTGGGGAAACACCTGTTTGGAATACAAGTTGTTAGCCATTAGTTGTTAGCACTAATGCACTTTGTAATGTTGCTAAGCATTTGGAAGGATAGTAAGTAAGTAAAACTCATCAGAAAAAAAAAAGCAGAATTTCATATGCAGACCTAAGGTTCATTAACCAAACCATAATAAAGGCAAATTTGACCACCTGTCTGGCTGGTACTAATGAACATGCATTTTAAACTTTCGTGATCAGAATTTATGAAAAGGACGAAAGTAGGTATGTATTTCCAAGTAAGGATAAAGGATGCTTCTGAGTTTTCATTGAAAGAATTGGGTTGCTGTCCAATTGTGACAAAGGTATTTTCCCGCTATTCTTTTGCTTGACTACCTACCCCACTAGAAATAAGCACTGTTTGCTTCTATAGTGTCTTCTATTTGAAGGTCTAGAAGTTTCATAAATCTCCATTAGATTTCATGTGGAGGAAAGGAATTGTTATTTTCTGCCTAACTAATGGAGGCACAGGTACAGTAGCCAGGAAGAGATGCCTAACTTTGTGCCTCGATTGTATTCTAATAGTATGATCTTTCCTTTAAGCCTGTAAGTTTTGTTATACCTTGTATTATTCATTGAGAAAGGGGAAATCTACGTTGGCACTCACCAGACAGTTCTTGGAACGATAAAATGAGATGTTTCTTGTTTTAGGGATTAGACCAGAGGGAGTCGAGAAGGGGTAGTGGGGAAGAAGAAAATTCCCTGGACAAACAAACCATGTACAGCTGTCCGGATTTCCTTCTCCTCATGTCTCTTACTCCTGTGACTGACTTCATACCCATCCCCTGGCTGACAGGCAAAAAGATGATATTAATGGGAGATTAAGGGAGGGTAGGTGTAACACGTATTACACCTCTGTAAGTGTGTGTATGTGTATACGTGTTTCAAAGGCTTGTTTCTCTGGGCGTGATACAGATGACTAAGAAAGAGAGCGAGCTCAAGTCAAATGCTCTCAAACAAGTTTAACAAACAAAACAGGATTATATAACTGGGCTGGTATGTGATGATTTGGAGAACTGTAATTACCTCCTGAGAACCAGATATGTGGAGAAATCTAATTATCATTTTCCATCCTCTTCTGTGTCATCTTAGACAGCTGGTCTAGCGATATCATTTGAATTCTTAAATGGGAACATTAATGTATTGCAGCCCCAACCATTTATCTATTAAGAATAATATTAAAGAAAGCAGAATAAGGGGAAAAAAAATCAGGCTAAGTAATGAAAACCCATTAATCTGAACCTCAATATTTGTGTGACTTTGTAATATATTGTGAAGATAACAGAAATTCCCATTCCCTTAGGACAAAAAGCAAAATAGTCTCAGATAAATCTTCTGACATATTTACCTGTCTTTGGTAAGCTTACTTTGTTTTTTGGAAAGGAACTATGCTTCCCCCCGCAGGAGACTTTGCCAAACTCCCAGAAGACCCCCAAAGCATTTGCAGAGGTACCACATACAAAGTTAGGACTTGATGCAGGAAAAGAGAGCATTTGTACAGTGAATGAGGAGCTGTCTGAAAGGGAGAAACAAGGTGGTGAGCTGCCAGGCAAGCTAAAGTTAGTAGTGTAGATTGCCAATGAAATTTGCAGGTTATGGAAGGTTTGGGTGTGTTAATAAAATAAGGCACAGAATAGCAAGTAGGGAGAACTAAACATTTGAAAGTACCTGAAATGATTTTATTGAATACAATTTCATCCCAAGTATTCTGTAATTTCCAAATACTCAGTTCCAAGTTTGGGTAATACAAGTTGCAACTAATAAAATTTGTTATGATCAGGTGGCTGTGGAAAAGGCACATAGAAACCCCTGCATATGCCAGGAAAGATATTCTTAGTCAAGAATTTTTTTAAAGATGTTCACAGCACTGATGGGCTTTCCTCTGCAATACTGGTGTATTGGGGAGTTCTGGTGGATAACTCCAGCTGCCCGTGGTCAATAAAAATGGCTTCAGACAGCACCAAGCGTGGAGAAGGGCCAATAGAAGGAGTAGGGTGCTGGAGTGAAAGTTGATTTAACACAGGATCTCCCTGTAAGTACATTAGTCAGAAAAAGACTCAGAGAAAAGAGTTAAGGCTAAACAGAACCCTGCTCTTGACACGAGCTGGTCATAACGCTGGCAACTCGATTTTGGAAAGTTGGAACAGTTTGGCAATGAAACATACTTTTAAGATGTTTGTGTTGTGCTGCAATTATTCTTCACCAACTACTTTCTACCCCCCATTCTCCTAATTCATTGAACATTTGGAAAAAAGCATTCTTCCTCTGGCAGCACACGCAAGACCAAAAAACCTAGTTATCTCAGCCTACAGGAAGTCTATTTTACCTACTATTTAATGCCTACT